AGTAATGGGACTAGAAGAAGAGTTCATCACATTTTTGGAGACATTGTCGCAAACAAGGTTTCCTTGAGGAGTGTAGGCAGGCTTCATTTGGTTTCTTGGTGCTCTTCCATCATCATTAAACTTGGGTTTAAGTTCTGGATGAAGAATCCAGCACTTTTCTTTTATGTGTCCAATGCCTGGACGACCTATTTTCACACAGTGAGAACACTTTAAGTCTGGTCGTTTTCCCTTGTATGGTCTGAAAGAGGTGAAGGCTCTTGCTTCTGATGGCCTAAGATCTGATTCTCCAACGACAACGACTGCATTCATGACCTTCTTCCTTATTTCTTCGCGTTGAATAACGTTGCAGACCATCTGGAAGGTGGGAAGTTCAGGTGTCATCAGGAGATGACTTTTAAGGTCCTCATATTCTGGTCCGATGCTGGCAAGCAACTGGAACACTTTGTCTTCTTCAGCACGCTTTAAAAGAATGGTTGTGTCCGTGGTATGAGGTCTGTAGAGATCCAATTCATTCCATTTGGCCTTCAAGTTGCCAAGATGTTGAACAAAAGAGAGATTTCCCTGTTGTAATTCTGTAAGATCTTTCTTCAGCTGGAAAACTCGCGCAGCATTGTTTAGATCTCCATACATGTCTCGTACAGAAATCCAAAGGTGGTGAGATGATACTGAATAACTGAAAATCTCAGCCATCTTTGGTTCCATTGAATTCAACAGCCAAGACATGATAAGTTGATCTTGGGACACCCATGCTGCATAATCTTGTGAAGTTTTTTCGGGCATGATATCATCCTTTTGAATGAACTGGATCTTTCCACGTCCTCCAAGAGCGAGAGAAATAGCTCGTGACCAAGGCAGATAGTTGAATTCGTTTAGGAGCACTGAGCTCAAACGTTGAATTGGGTTGGTATCCATAGTTTCGTTTTTTGAAACTTTCTCTGATGATGTTGCCATAATGGCTTTAACTGGTTTGAATTTGGTAGGATTTCGGAAGAACACAGATGCAGGTCCTTGAGGGATCACTGCTCTGATACCATATAGAAAATCTTAATGTATATTTCATATCAAAAACAGTTTACAAGATTAAGCATAAATAGAAGAATAATCGGGAAGGAGAGAGGAGAGGGGGACAATGGCAGCTAAGCAAGTCAGCTAAGCAAGCATGAGAGTATGATGACCTCCACATTCTCTAACACATGCTATACAGCTTATTAACAAGCTTTACACAGAAGAGGGAATAACACAGCTCACTAAACCCTAGCTAAACACAGCTTTACAGCTATTAGGGTTTAAAGAATATTCAATAATATTCAATAATATCATACCTGGTTCCAACTCCCAGGCAACGTCCGGAAAAGTCCAATGTTTCACGAACTGTCATCTCACCATAATGAAGATCATGCTGGCTAATGTAAGCAGAGGTTCTCTGAGGCACAAATTCCTCAAACTCATGGCCACAGTAGGTCACTTTTCCAGTTACCTGTTCATAACCCCTACTTGTCAATACATATATATAAAAGAAACACGAAACATGTAGTTGCTCGTCTGCAATAGAACAACCGAATAAAATGTAAGGAGTTCGAGAGAGAGGATTACAAACCCTTAGATCCTTGTCAAGTTTTCCTGCGAGCGCTTTTAGAAGTGTTGTTTTTCCCGATGAAGGAGGTCCCAGAAGCAGTGTCATCCTGGAAACAAAGAAACCAACCTCTAAAATTCTGTCGGAACAACTAATTGTTATCAATGCCAAAAAACATAATACTAGTCCAGGAAAGAGATTAAATCTGCAAAGATCTTGAGCATACCTCGATGGCCTCACGATGCCGCTCACATCTTGGAGAATCTGAACGTTTCTTTTCTTTGACGGTAAGAGTTTAAGCATTCCAATTATTCCCTATTCATATCCATAGAAATTTACAAATCTGTGAGCTCATCATACAAATTTAGAAATAAACAAGGAAATTTTAGTATCGATATATCTTTTGTAAAGTACCTCTATCATGTTCAAGGATGAATTTAGCAGTGTTGGAAGTGCTCTGCTGCCAACATATGCATCTCCCTCTATTGATACTTTCTCAAATCTAACCTCAACTTTAGGAACATCAATCCCAACCCTGTTTCCAATCAACCAAAAACATTCAAAACCGAACTCGATTTTTGCCAACCAAACAAGCAAAATATACGTATATCAAAACCCCAATTCAACAAAAACAGAACACAAATCACAAACCTTTCATTTCTGGCTCTCAGTTTCTGCAAGAACTTCTCGTTGTCATCCTCCACAGCCCTAAGTATGCTGTCCATCAACCGCTTCTTTTCTTGCTCCCCAAGATTCGCCATATCGATTTCTTCTGCCACAAGCTTCCCATTGCTCATGGTCTGCCTCAGCATCCCCCTCCGCATCCTATCATATGTGGGCAGCCTCTCTATGGCCGCCCACTTGAGCTCCTCCTCCTCATTCGTCACCTGCTGCCGCCCACTTCGCTGAAAAGCGTTCGGCGCGTTCCACATCTCCCTCACACTCGTAGACCGCCAGCTCCCCCGACTGCTGGTCTGCCGGGACAAGTCCTCCCCAGCAAGCCCTGCCGCCATAGACATGGTTGCTGCTTGCTAGCTCCAATAAAACCAATCAAATAAGACTCAGCTCAAGATTTCAGGAAAATGGGTTGATTTAAACCGCCAACTCTGGCTTACAACTATTGAGGAAATTATGATTTAAGATTACATTTGTGTGTGTGTGTGTGTGTGTGTGTGTGTGTATATGAGGCTTTGGCATGCAGTTGTATTGACAGCTGATCCTAACTAAGAAACAACTAACTAACTTTCTTCCCTCCCAAGAAAAAAATATTTACTTAATTCATCAAAAGTGTCCCGCTTTATGCTGTTATGTGGTCAATTATTGGTGTTGAACCAGATGTTTTTCTATTTGTTGGTTTACGCGTGTTTCTATTTATATCTTTTTAAGTTTGCTTCGAACTCATCATCAATGTGACGTGAAAATTGATCAACGACAAAGATTTTACCCATATTTCTATATAATTAAACAAAAATGGTACTTTTACCACATTTTTCTGACTACTTCCTAGAAAAATTATTGCCAATTGCCCAAAATGAGGAACAAAAAATATTCTGATAAAGACGTTCCTTGTACCACCTCTTCAATAGAGACGGAACCCACACGTGTCAGTGGGCCCTATCTCTATTCAAAATGGGGTACAAATGTGATATGAAAAATGTGGTAAGTATAGCATTACTCTTATACTAACTAGATGAGCTTGACTTGAGCACGTTAACGCATCTACACCCTAAGCCTATCACGATTACTATAAATAGAGGTTATGAGGTGAGGATTAGTGCATCATATTGTAGCTGAAATTCAATTCGGGTCTCACAATCATTGTCCAATATGCTTTTCTCCAATTTGATGAAATTTAAAAGCTAATTTTGTTGGATCAAAGGATCAGGAAAAAAAAAGAGGGTCCGGACCTCCTGTGAGAATGATTTGGAAGATCAAAACTATTTGATTGATGAGATTTGATATGATACTTATGAAATCGAAATTCAAATATTAGGAATTTCCCCCTCGTATCTCTATCACAAATCTCTCCCAATACATTCGGTTCATCACAGTAAAGGCCCTGGTTGCATATTTTTGAATTACAAACTTTCCTTGTAGATAGGGTTTTCAATGCCCTGGTTGTAATCTGAAAGTACTATATACATATGCATCCCATCGTTGAAATGGGTATGCAATTGAAGTGAAAACCCCAAGTTCTTTAAGTTTTACACTAACTAACCGAACTCACATCTACGCATTTGATGATCATAACTGAACGAACTCACATCTATGCATTTTTTCTTACCTCAGCATAAATAAGATGAACACTTTTGGAATTTTCTTACCTCATGTATGTATTAGCTTCTCTACAAAGTAAATAAAATCTAACCTTTCAGAGAGTTAAAATTTTGCAATTTCTGAGGAGACTCTCATGCTAAATGGAAGAAGAACTAAGAGAATCTATATGAAGAATCTGATGATGAGTCTGAGCATCTTCAGTAGCCAGAGAATGGTTCCCCGTTTAAATGTATGAATGTTGAGAGGAACTTTCTTTTTCTTTTCTTCCATTGAGACAATGTAGAAGACGATCGATCAGTTTACTATAAGAAGATCCTCAAACCAAGTTTTCTGTGGAATTGTAGTATGTCATCCTTCTATTTCATAAACTAGCGTTGCTGGAAATTTTTCCTGCGTCCTTTATCATTCCTTGAATTATGTCAATGAGAGAATTCGTAGTTTGTACTGACAGAACCATTGTCCCACATCGGAAAAGGAACTGTTCATAAATTGCACCGAGATTCTTTGGGACAAAACCCTATACTTTGAGTTCGAGAGGAAGTGAGAGATGTCTGCTCGAACAACTGGTATCCGAGCTTGCGTGGTTGCATAATATGGTTGCACAAGGAATCAACTAATGAACCATGTAACTGAAATTATATCAGAATCTGATTAAAAATAACTTTGGTTAAAAAATCAAGCTTTGACACTTGACGGGGGATGTTTTGGATTAAGCCACACAATGGGTCGGTCATAATTTGGTATCAAACTTGTCATTCAAGAGGGTCAAATATAAGACCTCCCACTTACAAGTTTGTAAGATTACCACTAGACTGTAATACTAATAACATTTAGAGTTAACATAAAAGAAATATTATTTTGATGGACTTCACACACAAGTTGTGAGCACTTAAAACAATAAAATTCCCACCAAAACCGTAGATTTTAAGGAAAAATGATATATGTATGAGTGAGTGAGTGAGGTTCAGTGATCACACAAATGACACAAGGCAGGAAGGAGGCTAAACAGCCGTTGTGCCATGCTCCCTGGTTAGTGGTCACACGTTTGAGTACGTCAGTATCTCCCTCGATGAAGAGACACCGTTCCAGAATCCAGATGGCATTCCATCGAACATTCGACCCTATAAAGGTCAACTCAAAGCAGCCCCCTAAACACATGACATTGACAAAGAGAATTCAAGAACCTTGTAGGAGCAGAGTTTAATCTGTCATTTCCAGCTAAATACCTCATTTTTCTTGTTCTTTCAGTGAGGAATGGAGAGGAAGCAAGAACGAGAGTGGGCCGAAGCACAAAAGATTGTGATAAGCAAAGACCTTGTGGCTGCAGCTAAACAGCAGCTAAAGTTTCTAGCGGTTGTTGATCGAAACCAGCATCTCTATGACGGTCCTGCTTTGTACAAGGCCATTTATCGGTATGCAGTGCAGGTTAACCAGCGATTTTTAACAGCTAGAACCTTCTTCTGGCAACATTATGTTCCAATGGAAAATCAGATTAGTAATTCAAGAAAAAGAAACTAAAATAATCAGAATGCTTAAATGTGGGTATTTTGTTTGTCAACTTTGCAAATTTCAGGTACAAATATTGTTGGCTTCCCTTACTTGCCAAGTATGCTGAATCTGAGGTTTCAGAAGGTCCTCTCGTCGTGCCTCTTGATTGCGAATGGATTTGGCATTGTCACAGGCTCAATCCGGTAGACAACTTCATGGATTAAAACTCACACATAGTTCTTCAAATTCTTTCACAATCATCCCAACCTGCATTTCTTTGTTGGTTTTTCAGGTGCGTTATGTCACTGATTGCGCAAATCTCTGCGGAAGAATCCTTGTGAACCACAACTTTGTATCCTCCGTTCAGGGAACCTGCAAAAAGAAAACAGAAGAAATTTGGATCAAACTATATCCTGAAGAGCCATATGAGCTCGATATGAGTAGCTGCCTGTCACATGGCAGTGCCAAAAATTATTATGCAACTTCCGAAAGCACAAAGTATAATCTAGCATCGGCTGTCAGAAGGCAGATTCCTTTCTTTTACCAGGTAACGGAACAGAGATGTCATCTGAAATTTGTTATCCTATCCAAACTTTTGCTCAATAACTGCGACATGTACAAACAGGTGTCGAGATCTTACATGAATGACAACCTCTTTCTCGAGGGAGCTGTGGACAGATACAAAGGGTTTTTGCATTTGATCAAGAGAAATAGGGAGAGGTCTATTACGCGCTTTTGTGTTCCGACTTATGACATTGACCTCATCTGGCACTCCCACCAATTGCATCCTGCTTCTTACTGTAAAGATCTTGTGGCAATAATGGGCAAGGTGTTAGAGCATGATGACACAGATTCTGACCGAACCAAGGGTCAAAAGCTAGATGTCGGTTTTTCTGAGACCGCCAAGCAATGGGAAGAGATGTTCGGTTCAAGGTACTGGAGAGCAGGAGCAATGTACAGAGGCAGTGCTCCATCTCCGCTCCCCACCTATCTCAGCCAACTACAAATACAAACAGGGAGAAAGAAGGTTGTTCAATCTGATCGGAACAAGAATATTATTCAACTTCCAAAGACAACGTTTGTAGAGGTAGATTCCAATGTCTTCATCTCCCACATTCTTTCATTACGTGAGTTGCAAACCTTAAGGTTTTACCTTTTCTGCTTCCTGATCCGCATCCTATCATATGTGGGCAGCCTCTCTATGGCCGCCCACTTGAGCTCCTCCTCCTCATTCGTCACCTGCTGCCGCCCACTTCGCTGAAAAGCGTTCGGCGCGTTCCACATCTCCCTCACACTCGTTGACCGCCAGCTCCCCCGACTGCTGGTCTGCCGGGACAAGTCCTCCCCAGCAAGCCCTGCCGCCATAGACATGGTTGCTGCTTGCTAGCTCCAATAAAACCAATCAAATAAGCCTCAGCTCAAGATTTCAGAAACCGATTGAACTATTGAGGAAATTATGATTTCGTTAATTAAACAATATTCTATATATATATATATATACACAAAGCTTTGGCATACACACAGCTCATGCTAACTAATGAACCAACTAAGGACAACTAAATTTTATGTTTGGCAACAGAATTGTGGTTAAAATTATAAAAAGAAAATGATACCGCATGCATGGCATTTTAGATAATCTTAAATTTGCAAAGTTGAAACATAATGTTAAGCTTGGTAGTGAAAGAGTCAACCTTAGACTTGAGTTGGTCGGGTCATGTGGCCGATTATTGGTGTTGAACCAGAGGTTTTTCTATTTGCTGGTTTGCGCGTGATTCTATTTATATCTTTTTAATTTTACGTTCGAACTCGTCACCAATGTGATGTGAAAATCAATGGCAGAGCCAGAGATTTACAATAATGGGGTCATGAACAAGAAGTTTCAGAAAACTAAATATAAATTCATTTTAATTGGCAATGACATATTTTCGTATTTTAGAAACGTCGTATTACAATATCATTATCAATAGATTAAATGTATTTTTCATTCTATATAACCAAGTCATCATTCGACTATTGGTTTCCATTCATTTTTCATTGTATACAACCAAGTTATCATTCCACCATTGATTTCGCATATGATGTGGATTCTGCACGATATTGACCACTAAAAATGCTCTCCCTATTTTGGAATGGTTGTAATTTATTTGCCTTAGCCACTATAGGGTCATATAAAACTTTAAAGAGGAGATATTTTAAGTTGTTGGGGTCAGTAGCAGCCAAAATGCCCCAGGTTGGCTCCGTGGTGAAAATTGATCAATGACAAAGGTTTTACCCATATTTCTATACAATTAAACAAGAATAATACTTATACCACATATTTTATTTTTTTGCTTTTGATGGTCATAACTCTAAAGAGGAGGGTTTACTTTTATGTTTTTTGTATCACAATGAATCTGGTAATTTTATTTTTCAATCAATTTCCGCCATTGATGCATTCTGGCGATCGTTTCCGCCATTGATGGATTCAAGGTGGTTTCAGTTTTAAGGTTTTAAAATTGTAATAAATTAGTTACTTCAAGTCACCCAATATCTATTTTGTACGCGTTTGTCTTGAGTGTTACGACACATGAGAGGGCATGTGAGGATAAGAAGTTGTCCCGACGTCGGAAAAACTCAACAGTTAAAGAAAAGAAAGAAAAAACTCAACAGTTGGCCCCGCAAACCGGTAGGAATATCTGCTTAAGGGAAATAATACTCTTAAGATGTCAAGTCAAGGTGCGGGGGACTTCAACCCTAGAGCACACAATTTCGAAAACATGAACCACAAGATCGTACCAACTGAGAGGAAACAGAAAAAAAGAATCAATTCATATCTTACAATGTACATGTATGCATTTCAAAACTAAAAAAGAAGGCAGTTTCAAGAGTATGCATTTGATCTCAAAAATGTATTTCTCTGCAGATAAATTATAACGCCCCGTTCCAGTAAGTTGCTACTTATGGCTCAACATTTATTTTCTGTCATCGAGGTGTTACTCTTACAGCGTCAATATTACATTGAACTAAGATTCAGCCGATGATGCAGCATCATCCTTGTGCTTAACCATACCAGAATCCACAAGGATGGGAATCTCTGCTGCAAGCCACGGTGCAAGACCCAAACAGAGTGCATGTGCTATACCAAATCTTGGGCTGCATAACATGAGAAAGATCATAAGTACTAATAGCCGATAACTCCAAACATGTTTAATTAAACAAATGGGCACTTTGTTTGTTTACATTAATGCTTTCGAGAATAGATTAGAGCAAGTTCCTCGTACGAGATTAAGGGAAGAATGACACTTTCATGGTCATAAATTACTATGTGAATACAATGAAATGCAAAAGTTCCCCATATCAATGTTTCCCACTATAATTCAAATTAAGGAATAAGAAAATGTGTTGTGCAAGTTTTCCACATATTATTTTCCTTCCACAGAAAAGAAAACAAACATCATTCTTCCACAAAGAATATGCAAATACACGAATTGGTTTCAAAAACAGAAGACTAGCATATTGAAATATACAAACCATGCATCCTAATTTTCAGCTCGAAGCAAATAATCAAAAAGCAAAACTAATTTCGAGTCGCAACAAATTGTTCTGTCATGTCATATATTCTCAAGCGAATTCAGAACCGAGTTCACAGCTGGTTTTGAAATCTCTTGTAAATCCAAAATTACAAATTTTCCAAAAAAAAAAAAAAAAAAAAACCCCACTTTCCTTTCATTTCTTGCAATTTCTCAGTGACCAAACAGATAAAAAAATTCAAAATACTTTAACAAACATACAACAAAATAGAAAATTTACCAGTTCTTGGCCCAAAGAGGCTTGAAATGCACCGTCAAGCAGATCTTTCCCCCTCTATACATCTGAGACAAATCCAAAATTACCCAGAAATTAAAGAAACTAGATTACTATCAGAAAGCTAAAAAGGGGAAGGGGTAAACTCGAAAAATCTAAATAAGGCCCACCTTTTGGGTCTTGCCGTCGAGCTGAGGGAGCTCAAGTTCCGGTGCGGTGGCGGGGTAGGTGATCGGGATATCAAACTGGAGATCGAATTCGTACTTGAGGAGGTTGTGGACGTACCAGCACTTGCCTGTCCATCGTGTGCCCTCGGGATTGGCGGCTGAGATTCGGAACCAATCGTTGTCGTTGGACTTGTTCATCTGGGTGTAGGCGATCAGCGCCTTGTACTCCTCCTTCAGCCTCTGCGTCCAAGCCGCGCCGTCTCTAGGACCGGCCTTGGTCGTCAAGAGTGGGATCTGGGTCAGCGTCGACTTGGTGTTCGGGTCCCAACCCTCCATTTTTGTTCTTCTCACAGAGCAAAAACCCTAACCCCCAATTTAATTCGGTTCGCACTGTTTCTGTGTCCCCTTAAAAAGTTGTTGGCTTCTCTATTTTACCGGGAAAAAGGCTTCAGTTATAATTAGGCCGTTTGGTGTTTCTTTTTCATAAAAAATAAAAACTTTAAAGTTTAGTAATAAAAAAAATTTATGCTTTAAAAATTAGAGAACTTTAACGAAAATTCTCGGTACTGATTACTTTAATGAAAAATTATATTTTTATACTAAAAAATCAATCCTGGTACTATTTATTTTACCTTTTATTTTATCCTTATAGTTAAAATTCAAAGTTTTTAAGTCATTTTCATTAGTTTTCCTTTAAAACTAATGTGTCTAGAACAAGGTATTAAATATCGGTAATATCGGAAATATCGGTAGTCCGAAAACACGGAAATATCAATGGAAATATCGGGATAATATCGATATCGATAAAAATTACATGGAAACCACGGAAATTGTAAGAAAAACTTGGAAATTTTTATTGAAACTTTTCAGGATGTTTATTTAGTCAATTATCTATTAGTTTATCACAAAAAATTTGAAAGAAATGCATTGCATGATGGATTTAACATTATCAAGTTGATTATATAGCGAGCTGACAAACATTGTGAGTGTAGAAAATATGTAGTAATTAATGAAAGAAGTTTAAACACACCAATTGGGGCTTATTGCGGCAAGTTTTTTAGATATGACCTCGCATCAAGCCGTCTTTTGTGTTAATTTGTAATCTTAACTGGTTTTGTTGTGTTGTGTCAATTAGTAAAATTAAGCGGTACATCCAATTGGGGCTTATAAACATTTTAATTCTCCTTAAAAATCTAAAGGCATTTAATCAGGATTTTAAGTGATTCTTTAAAGTTTAAGGGGTATTCGATCATGATTTTTAAGAAATTCATACATTCCAAATGTATTCATTTAGAAATTGATTCGAAGAGATTTTTAAAAAGTTGGGAAACTCGAAAAAATTAGAAATATTTCACATAATATTTTAAACATTCTCAAATCGCTCCCTGAAAATTTGAGGGAATTCACTTAAAATTTTACATAAAAGTTTTAAAAATTATTAAACTTCATCAAAATTCATAAATTTTTAAATCTATTATAATCCTTTAAAATCTGAATGGAGAAAAAAATTCAAATCTAAACCTAATATGAAACAATCACTAAATTACATAGAATTTCTAAACCAAATCTAATAAGGATCAATTACAATTCTAATACGATGTTGTAATTACTTGGAGTTTTTTAGGGCAATATAAGTAGATGATTTGGGGGCCTGAAACTTGCTTAAATCCCTAAATTGCCAATTGAAACGAGAAAGAAGAGAAGACAGAGAGAACGAGTTAACGATCCCTCCTCCTCCTCATCGCCCTCCTCTCCCTCTTCGCAATCTCCGCCCCTGCAAAACCCTCTTCGTTTCCTCCTACTCCTTCTCCCTCCGCCGCCTCCCCTCATCCTCTTCCTCCTCCGGCTTCGTCACCATCGTCACCGAGATCAACCAGATCCTACCTGAGACCCCATTTCTTTCTTCTTCTCTTTCTTTCCTTCTCTGCACACTCTCTTCTCTCTCGAAACCTTCTCATCACTCTCACTCTTTCTCCTATGATTACCCTAGTACACGGCACCCACACCATCGTCCCGTAGACGGCATCACCATCAAAACCTCGTCTTTCGCTCTCTTCCTCTTGTCTCTGCAAGATCGACGAAACCCAGAAACCTCCGGCGAGTTTTCTTCATTTTCTCCAGTTAGGTAAGCTTGGGTGTGTGTTATGGAACGAGATCAGGTCGGGGGAAAGCTCACCCAACTCCGGCGAACCCATGACTGTTGAGGAGCTTTCCGAACACCTTCGGCCATTTCACGGCGAACCAAGGGTATAAACTTACTCCTCTCTCTTTCCTCTTCACGTTGGTAATTAGATCGGAGTCTAAGGTTTGCGTTTGTAATCGGCTGGAGCTGTAGAAGCTCCGGCGTTCTTCTCCAAGTAGCACAATTCCAAAATATCGCGATAGTTTCGGAAATATCGCGATATTATCGATATTATCGATAATATCGCGATATTTTGACGAAAACCCGTTGGATACCTATTAAAATATCGGTACCATGAAAAACCGATAATATCGGCGATATTTCGCCGATATTATCGGCATTTTGTTCCTTGGTCTAGAAGTAGCCTTGTACGTATGTAAACACGGAAATTCCTGAAACAAACGAGACAAGAACACGTGTACAAAATAATGTTTTGTATTAATGATTTGGGGTTACAATCTCTTTATAGTTTGATTCTCTGATTCGATCTCTGTAAGGTGTTGATTTGTGGATTGTGTTATTGATCCAAAGATCGTCGAGGCTTGATTCTGGATGACCGGTTGATGAATGATGAAGACTTTCTTCAAGAGCCGTCAGGGCTTGATCTTGAATTGGTGGAAGTTCTTCAAGGGACCGTTGGGGCTTGATCTTGAATGAGGATTTCACGAAGAACGAAGAGGGCTTTCTTGATTCTTTGGGATTTGCTTGAGAGTAGAGAAAGTGTATGTAAATTTTCCTCCATGATTTTGATGGAGAGGCCTATTTATAGGCTTTGAGAATGAATTACCACCATCCTTTTGTTTTGGTGGATGTTGTAGGTGGATTGGGTGGATTGTTGTAGGTGAATTGAGTGGACATTGTAGGCGAGGTGAGTATATGATGTATGTTAAATGAATGTATGATGTAGGTGAAATGAATGGAGGTTGTAATTTTAATACAATTGTCAATATTTATTTCACCGAAATTTCAATGTCTACAACGTCGTTTTTAATGATTTATTTAGAGTTACTTTTAAAATGTCTAAAAGCATTTTTAGTGAAATTGATTTTGAATTCCAAAATCATTTAAATGTTTTTTTAAAAGAAGCATCAAATATATGTTTCTTGCATGAATCACTTAAGATGCTTTTTCAGAATTCATTTGAATTTTTACTAAGAATTGATTTCAAAAACATTTTTATCAAAAAAATATTTCAACCATTCAGAATCACTTTCAAATGAGTATAAACTCTATAATTTGTTAAATATATATTTTTAAATTTTTTTTAATTTATTATATTATTACTTTTGATACGTGTGATTTTAAACAGATTAAAAATTCTCAAAACTTGTCGCCAAAATCCACATCAACCGAATCCAACCCACCCAAAATCCTCCCTCCCCTCCCTCTAATTTTCCCAACAAACAAAACCGCCACTTTGACCGCCTTCAATTTCATCCTATGCTGCTCCACCAAAACCGCCTCTCCCACTTTTCAAAACCCTAACACCCCCAATCCGACTTCCCCACCCGCTTCCACTCTAACCGCTCACCACCGCCACTTTACAATGGCCGGAGCAGCTTCCAACGACCAGGCTCTCTCTCTCCTTGCCACCGTCAACAACCACGGCGATTTGGCCGTCAAGCTCTCGTCTTTGAAGCAGGCTAAGGATCATTTGCTGTCCCTCGAGCCCTCTGTGGCTGAAGAGCTCTTCCCCTAATTGGTCGAGCTCCAGTCCTCCCCCGAAACCCTCGTCCGCTTGTCTCTTCTCGAGTGAGTTCCCCAAACCATTAATTCTACCATTTGCAATTGATATACGGTTGGTTGTGAAAGAAAAGCATGATATAGTTGCTTTTGAACTTTGTAGGTTAATTTTTTTTTTGGAATTAAAAGTTTGTGGCCGTGATAGTTACTGTCTGCCTTGTGCTTCCTCATTACGACACCGTTCCTGGTCAGCTGGGTTTGTGGGTGACCTTTTGCAGATACAATGTATGGTTTGGAAACTTTGGCTGTACGAGTTTGGATCTTGATTCTGTTAATATACCCAATTATACCAGAATTTGATAATCTTAGGGTCCTTTTGGTACTCTATGTGAGTCCAAATGTTTTAACTCAAAAACTGTTTTTGAGTTACAACTCTCGAGTTCTTGTTTTTGAAAAACTGAATTTAAGAATAACTCAGAGTGCCCAAGCCTTCAGCTGATCTGATAGCCACTGTTAAACATTTGTATGAACAAAATTAAAGGTTTTTCTATTAACTAAAGCTTCTTCTTTTGAATAGTAGTTAAATCTCTTGCTATTTTCATGTTCAAAACTGAGTTGGGTAGTTATTGGCTGCCGGATGTCACAATTCTTATTCCAATGCTGTCTGCACTTTCTAAAAATGAGGTTTGTTTCATAGGTTCTGTCTCATTCTCTAGTACCTTTTTGTCAAGGTTCTTGGTTTAAAACTATTTTCTGTCTCATTCTCGTGTTACTGAAACTCCGCCTGTGTAAGTTTATCTTACATTGCCGGTCCCAAGCCCAGGTAAAGGAGGAGGGGAGGGCGTCAGGTAGTCGACAGCCGGCACTCCACAGTTACGTCGAATCCTTATGAAAATGAATCCATAACGAAAAATGGCGTTCTAGGATTCATATAGCCGACCCCACTTAGTGGGAAAAGGCTTTGTTGTTGTTGTTGTTGTATTCTCGTGTTACTGAAACTGTCATAAACCAAGCATGATGGATAACCTTAACTTATTGTGTTAACTTAGTTAAATATAACTTCGTAGTAATGTGCTAGACGCAAACTCAATATGTGCACATGAGAGCTTTTCATTTTTTTTCTGTGTTCATGTCTGTAGGATATTGCTAGGCCTAGTTTGGCCCAAGCATTGGAGAAATCCATTTAGTCGCAAACTCAATAGGCACAAACAAGAGTTTCCATTTTTTTTTCCGTGTCTAGAAATATTGTGATTTCCTTTTCCATTCATTATTTACCTTCTAAGTTCCATTAACGAGAATCACCAAGATCTAGGCACTTTCTTAAAGAAAAACAATTCATGTTGGACAAAGATATGACACAAAGTTTGATAAAACCTGAGTCAATGATTTGTTAAGATTCATATCCTTTCAATTGCAGGGCTCAGCTCATAGAGGCCCAGCTTTAACACCCGCAGAAGTGTTGGTTTCCATTCATGGTATTGTTCCTGAGAATGATGGACTTGCACTTAAGAAGGCACGTACTTACTGAATATGATTCTTTTATATAAGCCTTATCAATTAGATGGTTAGTTGATTTCATCATCTTCACAATGTATATGGGGGATATGCTTTTTTTATGAAATACAGCTCGGACCGATTAAACCCTGAAACATATTGGGATGATCAGATCGTCTGAGGTTCAACTAATTTTGACTTGCTCTTACCAATGCCTATTTCTTATCAATTTGTCTTGGCAAGGTGCATCCACTTGTTGGGTTAAATATTTTGCCTTGCCAAGGTGCATCCCTTCCCATGTCAGTATTAAATGGAGGCTACCCTTAATTTCTTGATGCACTTTATATGGTATCGTATAGTTTCTCCTTTTATAACATGGTACTTTTATCATTATTAACAGCTTTGTTTGCTTCTCTTGTTTGCAGATAACAGATGCTTGCTCAGCCTGTTTTGAGCAAAGCACAGTTTTCACGCAGGCGTTGGCAAAGGCCCTGAATCAGATGGTCTGTACGTGTTTTCTATAAATCTTTGTCCATTACGTTTATCGTATTATTTAGTTGTTGTAAGTAACTTTTTTGTTTTTCAGGTTGATCAAACTCCTCTTCCTCTTCTCTTTATGAGAACAGTTTTTCAGGCAATAGATGATTTTCCTTCACTGGTAACTGCTCTAATTCCTTTTCCTTTTATCATCCTTTTCTTTTCCAACGTCCTGATTTCGTTATTCATGTTGTATATGGTTTCATGATTCAGGTTGATTTTGTTATGGAAATACTTTCCAAACTTGTGAGAAAACGGGTACGTGTGTCATCTACGCCTGTTATTTGGTGCTGTGTACTCTTTCAGGTTGACGTGTCAGTATTGGTTATTAACATGGCTAGGGGACAAGTGATGTTCTATATGTAAGGTTTGGATTCCTGAAATGTGCGTCACAGACACAGCCACATTCTTTCCATGTATTGTTACGGGTATCACATCATTGTCTATTATATAGAGAACTCCCCCTTTCTTTCAACTGGTGATTTTAGTTTACAGCTCAGTTTCCTAATTCCTATCTCATTTCCTTGCAGCTACCACCCCCACAACCTGAAAGCACTCTGAACAAATATGCGAACCTCAGAGGTCCCCTTGCCGCTTATGCTAGCCAGCCTAGCGTAAAAGCTTCACTCTATAGGTATACTATTGTGCATCTGGTTGACCGTCAACTCTATTTCATGGAGATTACAATGTGTTTTGGCAGAGCAACTTCTATTTAAACTTACTGCATCTGTTTTGGTAGACCAAAACTTGCCGACCTTGGTCTAGAAAATGAAACACATTTGCAGCAACCGCATGTGCCACCATCGTTATACCTTACAGACACAAGCTCATCAGTTCACGGAGTGGACTCCAACGTGATAATTACAAAGCAACACAAGCTCATCAATTCATGGAGCAACTCCTACGTGATAATTAGAAAGCGTTCGGACTCTCAAAAGTGACCGGCTATGTACAGTACAAATTGGGACATCTGATATTTGAGAGCCACAAATGTGGGAAGGAAGATGTAGATTGACCACGTATATGGCGTCTGATTGCTTTCGGGTATTTGATCGCCGATTGGTGGAACCTAACGATGAATCTGTCCGGCTGCATATGGAAATATCAGTTCTTCAGAAATACAGGCAAGAAAGAATAAGGAAGAAAAAAAAAAAAGAATGTATTGTATCTGTCTTTTATGATTTAACCTTGTAAATTTTGATTCTCCAATCTAATCCGAGGACAGGTTTAAATTTTGGGTCATTAAATAATAGGCTCCTGTAAATTGTAGTTGTATTTATTTTTTTAGTTTAGTTCATATTCTTTTGGTATTTTGTTCCTTTATTTCTCCAGAATTATAATTATTTCTTCGAGTTTTGATCTAACATTAAACATGTTTGGTTGAAAGAAACTGAAAATCATCGAACAAAACGTCCCTAGTTTTCACCTACAACTTCGTCGGCGACGTCGTTGCTGTCACCTTATGTATTGAGACTCTTGAACATGTAAACCAAATTCTGGGTACCAAACTTTTGTTCACCCAACAAAAACAATGTCATTCTACTTCCTTATTTGCCCTTTAATTTTTTATGTTTAATCTTGGTCGTTGTTTTCGTTTGATTTATTCAATGCTAAAAAATGCAAGAAGCTAAAAAGGTTTGTGGAAATCATGTAACAACATGTCCAGGAATTTACGTAATGGAAGGGTATTTTCGTATTTTCATTTTGGTTGGGTTTTATTTGTTTTAAAATATTGTTTTTTTGTGTTAAATGGTGCGCCTAAGGGGCCCACCCTGATTTTGGTCCCCCTGGCTCTCCCCTCTCCTTGCCTGCCATGTGGCATCCCACTTCTTCCCTCCCCAACATCTCTTTCTCTCTCACCTCTCCCGGTTCTCTCCATCACTTTGCACTTTCTCTCCCTTTATCTCCGAGAAGGAACCACCTCTCCCCGTTCTCTCCATCACTCTGTACTCTCTCTCCCTTTATCTCCAAGAAGGAACCACCATCATTCCTCTCAATTCCGACCAAGACAGTCCCATAAATCCTTATTTCGAACCTTTATGACATAGGGAACATAACCACATCCTCACTTGCATCGTCAGAGCACCATTTGAGTGATCCGCCATTGAAGCCGAGAGCTTCAAGCTTCCATTTCTCAAACCCAGGTGAGTTTATTGCTTTATTCCATTCATTCGAGTTATTCTTGGGTTGATGTTGTGTTTTTGAGTTGAAAACCGAAGGTATCTAACTCGTCCGTGCATGCTCTTTCCCCTTCCCGATTTCCGATGGAAACCCGACGGCTTTCGAGCCGAAGTTCAACCGACTCCACCTACCCCACAGTGTGTCACAGGTACGAATCTCTTCCCCTCTCTCGTATCTTCATTTTAGTAGGAAGATCATAGGGTAGAATTGTCACATCCCAGGCCAAGCCCCCACCGCATCCCGGGCTCGACTCCGCCGTAACACGATATTGTTCGCTTTGAGCCTCGACCACGCCCTCACGGTTTTATTTCTAGGAACTCACATGAGAACTTCTCAGTGGGTTACTCATCATGGGATTGCTCTCGCATGAACTCGCTTAACTTTAGAGTTCCGATGGAACCCAAAGCCAATGAGCTCCAAAAATGCATCGTGCTAGGTAGAGATGAGAATATACATATAAGGCTTATAGGATCCACACCCCTGGACGATGTGGGATGTTACAATCCACCCCTCTTAGGGGCTCGACATCCTCATCGGCATACTTTCGGGCAGGGATTGGCTCTGATACCAAATTGTCACATCCCGGCCTAGGCCCCTACCACATCCCGAGTTCGACTCCGTCGTAGCACGATATTGTCAGCTTTAGGCCCCAACCACGCCCTCATGGTTTTGTTTCTGGGAACTCACATGAGAACTTCCCAGTTGGTCACCCATCATGGGATTGCTCTCGTGCGAACTCGCTTAACTTCAAAGTTCCGATGGAACTCGAAATCAGTGAGCTCCCAAAAGCCTCGTGCTAGGTAGAGATGAGAATATACATATAAGGCTTACAGGATCCCTGGGCGATGTAGGATGTTACAAGAATGGTGAGACGTCGTCGACTGGAGCTTGGGAAGCTCTAGCCTTTTTCCTCGGCAAGAAACGGGCAGACTCGCCTAAACCCACAGAGTCCAGGCTTTTTGGGCTAAGCAAACTAGGGCCTTCATGACATTCCCCAACCCCAATATCCCCACATACCAGGGTAGGCACGTGATGGCCAACACCCAAGGGTGTTGAAGCCATTTTGAACATGCTTACCAATAAAATATTTAATTAAAAAGATATAAACCAATGCAGAATTGTGTTCAGGAGCATACAACTACTAAGAACAATATGAAGTGATTACTAAGAAAAGATATGAACAAGGAAATGATACCTATACTGAGAAGACTCGCGGATAACTAAACCGAAGTGCCCTGACATCAGGTTCATATGCCTCAATCCTAATTCCTGAAGGGGGTCCAAAACCAGAAAAGATGAGTAGACCAAAGTTTATAATAATAATACTAATAATAGGAAAATATTTTATTTTGAACATAGTAACCCCCTGTTTTGAAAACATATATAATACTACGTATAGGTTTTATGAAAACCCTAGCATGCCACGTAAAACCTTCGTAAAACAAGTATGTGTAAAACCATGCTAAAAAATGTTGAAAATGTCACCCGAAGGCAAATCTATAGATCTCATCAGTGAAGTACTCAACTAGGGGTATCATAGTCACCCAAAAGCAGTATCTATCCATCACCTGAAGGTGAAGCTGAATACCGTGTCCATCACCCGAAGGTGAAGCTGAATAACTTGTCCATCACCTGAAGGTGAAGCTGAATAACATGTCCATCACCCATAGGTGAAACTATATAAAATAGCATACATCCACACCGACACTAGCCGTAGCTAGTGAAGCTGTCCGACACCGCTTTCAGCGGTGAAGCTCGAGGTATATAATATATCATATCACACTCCTCCATCATCTGTGTCCTATAGCCATAGACATAATACCCGTGGTGTGCAAATGCCATATGATAACCCACTAGATAAGTACCAAAAACATATCTCAAAATCTCAAGCCAAATTAGCAAAGCTCAAAGGTTCAAAATCTCATTTCATAAATCATATATAAAACATATTTACAAATCCAAGGAGTTTCATATATGCAATTCCAATAATTCATAACCATTATTAAACGTAAATTCGATAAATTATAAATATTCCGTAAAGCAATTCAATTAAATCATGAATTCTATATAAACCATAATTATAGAAATCTGGAAAATATAATATAAAACATGTTAAATGCATGAAATATGAAATGCATGCTAGGCTAATAGTTTATAAAAATATATAGTTAAGAAGGGGTCCACTCACTAGTTTTCCATTGCCTGAAAGCCGCTCGAACTATCAAGAATAACGTTGCTTCATGCCAACGCGCCTAAACACAATTAAGAACCTTTTAGCAAAACTTTACTAAAGCGTTATAATTTTGGAAAACGGATGGCGGATTTGGATTCGGCTCGTTGAGGAACCGTAAGTTTTTCCTCCACGCGCCGCTGCACACACCACCGCGTGTAATGGTCGGCCGTCCCGACTCGTTGGAAAATCCAATAACTCCAAAAATTCTCAAATTTTACAAGAATGAAGATCTCGATGAGTGGAGAAACTTTCATACCTGTGACTAAGGCCAATTTGGTGGGGAAAAGCCCCAATTTCACTCGAACCCACCGGAACCCTAGATTTGGGTGTGTTTTGATTTGACCTCCATGCTCGCTCCGACACCTCAACCAATGCATGGGCTTTGTTCATGTGCTTAAGGGAAGTTGTTTGATGGTGAAGATCAATGGGATTGCATTCAGAAATGGCTGATTGCCGCCTAGGAACTCACAGGGTTTCTGTCGGAGCCGACGACTTCGAACTCCATGAAATAGGGCCTATTTCCTTTGATTTTGGGACGAAACATGAAGAAGGAAGGTCGTGGAGTTGGTTCTAGGTTGTTAGATGGCATGATTCGCTGGAAAAACCATCGGAGAAGACAAGAAAATTGGGTCGGATCGGCGGGGAGGAATCGGGTCAAGGGTGATCCGGTGCTCCTCCTCTCTCTCCTTTCCCCCATTTCTTGCTCTCCCTATTGGTCACTTTCTTCTCTCTCCTCTTTTTGATTGGGCGTTTCGCCTCTCCTTTATCTCATTTATCTCTTCTCCCAATTGACCGTTTCTTCTTTTATTCAATCTGGGCCACACACGTGGCTTTCTAGATTTTGCTCACAAAATCTGGAGCTTTCTAGAAAATAATCAATTTACTAAAATGCCCCCTGACTTTAAACGTTAATATCTCCTTTGTTATAGCTCCAAATCATGTCCACTTGCGCCCACACATTCGTAGCAACGAATAATATCCAAATACGCCAAGAAAATGGATCTTACGTAACATGACAAGGTGGTCAACAAAAGTCAACACTTTGCCTTGAAGGGCATTTTCGTAAATTTACTTATTAAAATTATAAAAATCATAATTTTTAGGGACGGGTCATTACACTTCGGCCCGTTGAATTAAAAGCCCAACCTAATTAGCCTTTAACCCATAACCTTTTTGGACTTAGGCCTTGGGCCGTGTAGAACTCAGGCCTTAGGCCCGTTATCCCTTTTAATCCATTGAACCCTTGGCCCAAACCTTCGGGTAGGGCTTTCAGGCCCAAACTCGAAGCCTTTTAAGATAAACCCAAGACCTAATGTAGAACCGGCCTAACCCTTAGGCAGTATAACCAGCCCAAGCCCAAGCCCACTCCTTTAGGCCCAACTCGGAACCAACCCAAACCCTTGTGACTCGACTTGGACCCATTGACCCAGTCTGATCGTTGACTTCGGTTAACGCTGACCGTTGACTCGATCAACTCTGACCGTTGACCGTTGACCCGTCAATGTTGACTTTTTGTTAACTTTTTCAGGTTTCGATCGGGACCTTTCTTAGGCTAATTTCAACTTTCTAGATCCGTTTTGACGTTCATTTTTCGAAATTCAATCGTTTGATTATAGTTTTATTAATTAGACCTTTTATGTGCTTAGGTGCATTTATTAGCGTCGATCCCGTCATTCCTATTTCGTACGACTCTTCGACGACGAAGTATCTATGAGCGAATCCCTTCTAAAATGCATGTTTTGATAGTAGAAATGCATACATGAAAATCATGATTTAATGGTTACGTTTTATGACTAAATTAGATTTACACTTTATGATTAGCATGCTTTACTGAGAATATTTTGGAATACCATAATTTATCGAATTTATGTTCTTTATAGTATATATGATGGATGACTA